ACTTCTTCTGGCTGATCCGTGTAAACAAACTTTCGCGATCCCGGTTGGTTGATTTACACAAAAAAGTCACGTGGGTAAATGGCTTTAGATGACCCCAAATAAGGCAATTTTGATTGTTTTGATAGACAAGGATCTACAAAAATCAAAAAAATTGGCCCTTGATGGGTAAATAGTACAGTACATGATTGTTTATCACCTGATGAATGATCGACAAAACCTGGCACAGAATTCTTGAGTGCTTCCCCGACATGACCATTTCCCAACATAACGTGATTTTGGGGAAATGGTCGTGTCGGGGAAATGGTTGTCAGGAAAATGGTTATGTTGGGGAAATAATTGCCGGGAAAATAATTGTCGGGGAAGTAGTTGTTGAGTAAACCTTAAACTATAAATATTTACAAAAATACTGTAGTTTAACTTCTATTTAAATTATAAATCAAATCCATTCTAAAAAATAGCAAAATTAATTTTAAACGACTTTAATTAATATCTGCGTATATATAGTTTACTATAGAACTCGAAATATTTATAGATGCAGATTTGAGTTTGTTTAATTTATGCAAAATTCACTTGCAAAATTAGAAAATTTACTATTATAAAATGCTTTCTTCCTTGAATTGGTTTGCTTTTAATAGTAATCTAGGTACTATAATAAAATTTCTAAAATTTCCGCAGTTCGAGCGAAGTTATCCGGCAATACAATTAATTTGTGTAACAAGTTAAAATTCTGCATTTTAATGGTTATGCAGAATGCCCAAAAAGCCATAGCCATATTTGATCACTGAATTCTTTTACGTAAAAATATTCAATATATCGCTAATTGATCTTAGAGTTTCAAATTTAAAATTATATATTACGCACTCACGTATGATACGTACGCACGGCAAACAAAGGTTCTTTTTTTAAACATAAATAATGTAATTCTATTTGATCTTCGAAATAGAATGCGTCAATAGTGGCTGAGAAGATTGTAATACGTACGTGTCTTAGCTGCGTCAACCAATAAAGTTCGTTTATTAATTATTGTGGATATATATATTCCTTTTAACATGTTCCATTTTAACGTGGCTGGGTTAAAAGATATGATCAATGAGATTTTGACACGGAAAAAAAAGATGCCTACAAGGCATTATATTATACGTATAATACGTATAATTTCATCGATTTATTTTTCAATTTTTTTATCTCACAAAAATCGACAATGGCATTTATATGGATAAAACCCTTATTACTATGCCTATTATTACTATTAGTATTTTTTGATCTTTCGCAAGCAACATCCCTTTCAACTATTCCAAGAAAACGAAATTACGAAGAAAATTACTATTATGTTATAGAAGTTATAGATGATTCCTTTGTTACACCCCACGACGTGGAAAAGCTGCTAGACGTCCAATATGAGGGGCAAGTAGGTGCACTTGAGAACTGGCACGTTTTCAGCATTCGCAAAAACCTCGCTGCTCGTTCTGATTCCGAAGATTCTCATGACCGCGTTTTGGCTCGATATGAGCAACTTAAAAATTTACGGCGATCTGATTCTTCGAATCAAAAAAGGTCTACGTTACAAATCGATGCCATTCGTTCTGTTGAAAAACAATATTTAAGAAAAAGGCATAAAAGGGCCCCACCTCCAATTCCTACACCTAAAATTGACTATAATCCAAGTACTGTTGCCGCTTCTTTAGGCATTACTGATCCAGGCTTCCAATATCAATGGCATTTGGTAACTATCAATGTATTTGTATATTTAATATTTCTAATTCTATATTAAATTGGTTTTTATGGAATAGATTAATCCGGTTGAACACAATGATATAAATGTAACGGGTGTATGGCAAGAAGGTATATATTTATTTGACTGATTTAATTATTATTCAAAACACTATTTCATTTTGACCATTAATGTACTAATTCCTTAGACAACAATTATTGTTATAAATAAGGAATAACTGGGAAAGGCGTCTATGCTGCTATTGTCGATGATGGTTTGGATGCGAACAGTGATGACTTGGCGGCTAATTTTGTATGTAGCTTAAATTATTATAAATTATAAAATATTCAATAAAGTTAATCACTTTCTCATAATTGATTTCTTAAAGTTCGCAGAAGGATCTTACGATTTCAACGATCATGTTAAGGTACCCTTGCCACGTTTATCCGATGATACCCATGGAACACGGTGTGCTGGAGAAATTGCTGCTGTCAAAAATGATGTATGTGGAGTTGGTATCGCACCGGATGCCAAAATTGCGGGTAATAATTTATGTAATTTATGTCCAATAAATTTCTAAGTATTTATTGACTAACTTTCTTCCTTCTAAAAGGCATTCGAATATTGTCCGGACAAATATCGGATCTTGAAGAAGCTGAGGCTTTAAACTATGCGTTTCAAAAGAATCAGATTTATTCATGTAGTTGGGGACCACCTGATGATGGTCAATCCACGGAAGCTCCAAAAGGTGTTATTCTTCAAGCCATGATAAAGGGCATAAAAGAAGGCCGTGAAGGCAAAGGCAGTATATTCGTTTTTGCTTCAGGTAATGGTGGTGCAGTTGATGACAATTGTAACTTTGATGGGTACACAAACAGTATATATACCATCACCGTGGGGGCTGTTGACCGCACACATTCACATCCATATTATGCGGAAAAATGTTCGGCTCTTTTAATATCAACATACAGTAGTGGAAGTGGAAGCTATATAGTAATATTTTATCACTTTAGCATGTGATTATTGATATTCTTACTAGAGTTATTACTAACATCCATGTTTAATGACTTAGTTCACAACTGATGTTGGTAAGCGGAATTGCACTAGTATGCATGGTGGTACATCCGCAGCTGCACCAATTGCAACTGGAGTTTTTTCTCTAGTATTACAAATTAGGTGGGTTTATTTTTATACCTTTATTTCTTTTTGACAGATTTGATTAGTATGATGATACTATATTATTTGTTATAGGCCCGACCTCACGTGGAGAGATATGCAATATTTAACTATGATTAGTGCTGTTCCGTTTAATTTAAATGAAAAAGAATGGATACGCAATTATGCTGGTCGTCTATATAGTCATAAATGGGGATATGGAAAATTAGATGCGTATAGAATAGTGCAGAATGCTAAAACATTTAAAAACCTTGGAACTCAAGTTTATTTAGAAATGCCTATTATTGATGTCAACGAAATAATACCATTTACTGATCATGGAATTATAAGTAGAATAAATGTAACGCAAAAGGATATAGATAACGTCAGTTTAGCTCGTCTGGAACACATCACTGTTACCATAAATATTGAACATACCCGTAGAGGTGATATTGAAGTAGATTTAATAAGTCCGTATGGTACAGTGTCTCATCTTGGTGCTGCGAGGCGATATGACGAATTTAAGGGAGGTCTCAACAATTGGACTTTCATGAGTGTAATACATTGGTAAGAACTGTTTATCCATGGTAATGTCATTTATCTTTAATTATGCATAATCTTTATATCGATTAATTTTAGGGATGAATCACCGATTGGTGAGTGGGTTATACAAGTGAGGGATAGAACAAATCCTGAAAATTCTGGGACTTTTAAGAATTGGATGCTCAAACTTTGGGGTGAAAAGATTGAAGATGCGTCATCGACAATTGTAGCACCCTCACCAGCACCCTCACCATCTTCCACAATAAATGAATCACCAGATGAATCTATTCTAACTTCAGTACTGCCAACTCAATCAAGTATTGCACTTGAATCGAAATCAAACACTTGGATCTTCGCAGTATTCGGAATGGGCGTGGCTTTCATATTTGCAGGAATTGCATATTTTGCAAAAAAACGCTGCTGGGATAAACGTGGACGAAAAGGTGGCTTCTTTTCACGAGATACATATGAGTCATTGCAATCAGGAGAAGTCACGAATGGAGGTGATGTTTCTTTACCGCTAAATAAACAATTTATTACATCCAGAGAATTATTTGATGCATTCGGAGACAGCTCTGAGGATGACGAAAGTACACAAGTTGTATTTGAAAATGCATATATGGACGAATATATAAACGATGATGAGAAAAAAGTTGATAATGGATCATATACAGAAGGGATGATAGAACATCGAGACGGTGATAGTACAAGTGGTTCCAATAATGAGGATCATCAATAAAGTAAGAATGTCTACATTTAGTGAATAGTTCAGATCGCAAGACTAACTCTCCGTTTTGCCTTTCTTGTAGTATCATAAAACCTAGATTAAAAGGTTTGTTTATTTTCCACAATCTTTTTTTTGATCGCGCAGAATTCTTTATTTATATTTATATATTCAAATACAATTTAGATATTTGTGATATTTAAAATTAGAATTGAAATTGTAAGTTTGTAGTCTAACTCTGAAGTTAACAATCCAATTTTTGATCATAGATCTATAAAAAAAAAATATATATTAGTAATAATAAATCATTGTCATTTAGTTTCTATTAAAATGTAATAATTCATTTAATAAAAAGTGCGTATTTTGATTAGCAATTTAAATTAAAAATTCGAAGATTGTTCGACCGGCGAAACGGTTCCTTCCCTGTACGTACGCGCGTATGTGCGTGCAAGTTTACGTAGTTTATATAATTATCAAATTTCAGTAAATTGGGTTTTACGTAATTATAGTTTTGAATACAAATTTCAGTCATTTAAATGATTTAAATGTCGGTTATAAGTCGAACGTTGCAATAATGCTGGCCAAACTTTCATAATGTTGGCTTTACTAATTTCTCCCATTGGACGAATGCAAATATCGTTTTTCATTGGGTGAAGGTGGCTAAACGTAAAAAATTTCACGTAGTCATTTACGCGTCGAAAATATTATTTTCGCTTACATACAGTACATTTATTTAAACACAATCGAGCCGCCCTAAATGCACTCGTTAGGACCAAACTTTTGATAACATGCAATAAGAAAAATTGTATTTATGGAGTCAGAAATATATTTGAGCCAAAACTTGAAGTCGCATTTATAGAGGTTGCATTTAAGGTCTGACTGTAATTCCTTTCGCTATTTAATACTAATGCTTGTTCTTTTGGGTTTAGCGCTTTTTTCAATAAATATCTTGCACGGATGATTAAATAGTTTTTTGCCAATTAAAAATCTACTGTATTGTGTGAAGTTGTTGCAAGGATGCGCATAATTTTACATCTATGTCGGCGGATTTGCGAAATTTTGATAAATAGAAAGACCCAGGAGCCGTAACGCTGGTCAAATTTGCAGATTATTTGGCCAGCTTTGAAGTTAACAATTTCAAACTAGGCCAAATAACCTGCAAATTTGGCCAAAGCTACAGCTCGTGGGTTTTTCTATTTATCAAATTTCACGATATATCATATTAATGGCAATGTATGTTCTTAATAAGAAATATTATTATTAGTGTATATTTGACTATTATAAGAACTGATTAATAATAAAGTAAATAAGCTAATAACATAGTACAAAGAGAGAGACCTTTCTAAATGTATCTTTATAGTAAAAAATTTCAAAAATATGTACTTAGAGAGCGTGCATTTATAAAAAGCAAAGTATATAGTGCTATTATAAGCTAGAGTTAGGCTATACTGTGTATTTAGAGATTTTATATTAGGGTTTCAAAGTTTAAGTTAGTTCAATTTAGATTTAAATTTAGATTCGATTGAATCTGAATTTGAACTAAACTAAACCTACATGGTATATAAGCTTTATATTGAGGAGCAATATAAGAAAGATGAGAGTATTGTAGTCAACTTTAATATTTTAACTAATAAAATATAATTTTAGTAATTGGAATTAAATAATTTTGATATTATTAGATTTGTCTTATTTTTTTATTTTTTTAGATCTTTGATAGTCTTGTCAAAGCTGAAATACAAGCAACTTTATTTAAAAACTTAGTAATGATAAAAACCATTTCTAAACTAAAAACAAATTTGCAAGAAAATTGCCAGCTGATATCTCATGGCTGTGATAAATATGCCTATCAGCTACTAGTCACACTATTTTGTATACAAGTTGAATAAACTTTGTTAGCCTGTTGAAAGCTAATCTCTTCAATTCTTTTTTTTTACCAAGAGCAAAAAAAAGTAATGATTTCATATCAACAATACAAAATCACCAATTAACAAGAAACAAAAGAAATCTATATTTAACAAAAACAAAATAAATAAAAGATGAATTTTTTTAAAAAAAACAAAAATATCAGAAAATTTTTAAATAAGATGCATATCAATTACTATCTGCAAGGTAATTAGTATCAATTTATATTGATAATAATTGATTGTAATTATTCAGACCTAAATGATTGCAATCGATTAGCATTGATTTATATCGATTACAATTATTTAAGTTTGAATAATTACAATCAATTATTATTGATATAAATCGATGCCAATTACTCTGCAGATAGTAATCAATATACACCCTATTTAAAAATTTTCTAATAAAGAAAAATAAGGAATGCAAAAAAAAATAAAGAGAAAACCCGAGGGCTAGAGTTTGAAACCAGATTTGGTATTTGGATTTAAATCTGATTTCCTTCAGATTCAGATTAAATCTAAATACAAAAGCAAATATCGAATCTATAATCCCATATTATTAGGGTTCCTAGGTTCAGTTCAGTTCAAATTTAGGTTCAATGAACCTGAACTGAACCTGAACCACAAATTTTGCAGATCTTTGAACCTGAACCTGAACTGAACTTTGAA